AACTTGCATTGGTCTGCGATAAAACAACCCTAGGGGCCTTGGTGGGCCAAAAAATCACGAAAAATTGAGACTTACCGGCGGCGGAGCTCTCGGGTGCGACGGCTTCTCCGGCGCGAGTCGCGGTTTGATGTTTTGCTCCAGTCAACCTGTAGAGAAAAGGACGGTGATCACAGTGGTGTAAAAATTGCATCGAACGGGAACCGAAAATGGCCTCATCAGAGGTAAAAACTGAGGGAAGTTGCGGCAGCGCCGCTGGACTTCGGAGGTATTTTTCGGCCGATTGGCCGGTGGTTTGGCTCCGATTTGGCCATAGATGGATTCAACATCAAAAAACGAGCCAAGGGGAGAAAATTTACCTCGTTTGGCGGTCGGAAAACCCTCTGGTGCGGCGGCGGGTGGCGGCGACCGGCTCATCCGGCGACTGGTTCTTCTTCTTCGGCGAGGGTACTGGCGGCTAGGGTTTGGGGTCGGGTGTGGGTGAGGTTATTTATAACCTTCCCCTTTTAGTCTCAGCCGTCCATCACGATTTAATATGGACCGTCCGATCGCAATTAAAATAGGAACAAATCTGGGTTGTCCATCACGATGCGATCTGGGCCATCCGTGCGTGATTCAATCTGGGCCGTCTGCATGCGTGAGATCTGGGCCGTCCGTGCGCTTGAGATCTAGGCCGTCAGCACACGTGAGATCTGGACTGTTCGATCACGTGCATGCGGATTGCCCACGTGGCTCCGTCCTGCGTGGCCTCCCGCGTCAGCTTCCTTACCACGCGGCATGTTCTGGTTGGCCAGGGCTGATGATTGGGCTGCTGACGTGGCATAACTTTCCTAAATTGCGTTTTGACCTCCGGTTTCCGATTTTCTTTTCAAAAACACCACCAGAATCCAAAATTTCATCCCTTTTTTTCAAAATCAATTTCAATTAAATCCCAAAAATAATTTTACCATATTTTATCATTATTATTATTTTTATTTTTATTAAATTAAATTAAATTAAATTAAAACTTTATAAATTAAATATTGAAAAATTAAACTAAAATTCTAATATAAATTAAAATAAATTAAAAAATAAAAATAATAAATTTGGGTGTTACAACTCTCCCCCCTTTAAAGAAATTTTGTCCCCCAAATTTACCTCTTACTCTTGGTCGAACAAATGAGGATACTGGGCTTTAAAATCTGATTCTACCTCCCAGGTAGCCTCCCTTGGCGTATGGTTCTGCCACATGACCTTTACAAATGATATTTCTCGGTTGCGGAATATCCTGCTCTTTCAGTCCGTGATACCGACTGGTACTTCTTCATAATATAAGTCCTCTTGGAGTGGAAGCGGTTCATGATCCAAGACATGAGAGGGGTCCGGGTTGTACTTACGTAACATGGATACGTGGAACACATTGTGGACCTTATAGAGTTCTGGAGGCAGTGCTAGTCTGTAGGCAACAGTACCAATCATGTCTAAGATTTTAAAAGGTCCAATAAATCGGGGGTTCAATTTTTCCCTCATGCCGAACCTACTAATTCCATTGGAAGGAGTGACCTTAAGGAACACCCGGTCGCCTTTCTCAAACGCTAGATCTCTCATTCAGGTGTCCGTATAACTCTTTTGCTTGCTCTGAGTCGTCTGAATGTTCTTTTTGATTTTAACTATTTTAGACGTGGTCTCCTCTACCAAATCCGGGCCGAACAATCTTCTATCACCCACTTCTTCTCAATAAATCGGTGATCTGCATGGGCGCCCATATAACGCCTCATATGGAGCCATGCCGATGCTTGCTTGGTAGCTGTTGTTGTAAGCAAACTCTATCAGGGGTAGATGGTTGTCCCAATGGCCCCCGGAGTCAATGACACATGCTCAGAGCATATCCTCAAGTGTACGAATTGTCCTTTCTGATTGTCCATCAGTTTGAGGATGGAAGGCAGTACTGAGAGACAGC